GCCTGGGTGGCTCAGTCATTAGGCGTCTGCCTTCAGCTCAGGTCGTGGTCCCAGGGTCCTGGGATCGAGCCCCGCGTTGGGCTCCCTGCTCGGCGGGAAGCCTGCTTCTCCCTCTCCCACTCCCCCTGCTTGTGTGCCCTCTCTTGCTGTGCCTCTCTGTCAAATAAATAAAATCTTTAAAATAAAAAAAATAAAAGCAAGATTCCTCATGAGTGAGTGGTACATACAATGGCCCCAAGCTTCAGTGAGAAAAGGAGCCTGATGAGGGAATTTCTACTCCTGACCAGCTTCTCTGTAAAGGTCATTCAAGTTCCTGATCTTTAGTCCTCTCATCTGGACTTCCGATCAAACTACCTAAGCATGAACCCAGGTTTCACCATTTAGTGAATCAGTGACTGCGTAAATTGCTTAATCTCTCGGACCTAGTTTATTTGTAAAATGAGAATAGTTGTTTTAAAATTAATTGAATTAAATATAAAGTATTTACCATAGTGCGTAGCACACACCAAGTGTCACATTATGACTACTGTTATTCCCTATGAAATGGAAATTGCTATTCTTACCTTGTAAGGCTGTGTTGGAATATGAGAAGCCACTTTGTAAATGGTAAATGCCACCAAAACAGGAGCTTGTTATCAAAAGTACACAGATGTACAGTGTTTATTAGTAAGTTGACAATACAGCCAAACGTGGGGGGAGGGCTTTATTTTCCTCTTCCAGGTTACTTTTCGCTAGTTTTATTAGAACTATTCACAGTTAAACCTTTACTTCCTTCTATAAGAAACTTCATTTTTCCTCTGGAAGTAGCTTCTTCATCAGACAGCTGAAGAAAATAGCTAAACAAACGTGGAATCCAGAAATGGGAAATACTACCTAACAACTGTTCTTGCCTCTTCTTTTTATTGTAAAAATTATCATATGTACATTTGTGACTATACTCTATAGTCAGTATATCAGATAATGCTTCCAAATTAGAAACAAAAATTAGCATACATTTTATTGCTTCCTTACCCCATGGAGAATCGTATGTAGTACTACTACACTGCAAAAACTTCAAGAAAAATGTGGTGACAATTCTATACTCTCTTCCACCTCCTACAACTGTCCTCATTACTTTTTTAAATCCCCTTCCCTTCCTTGGATGGATATATCAACACATGAGAAAGTTCACATTTGAATTGTGTTCTCCATACGCCCCTGACAGTTTCTTATTCACAGCTGTATTTCCGTCCGGTGTCATGCACAGTTGCTGAATGAATGGCTCCAAAAACATCTTCATCCATCAGAGACTGGAGCTGTTCATCAGAGCCATATAACCAGAGTCGGTACCATGGCTTAAGCGACAACAATCAGTTTATCAGGATTTTCTTCAGTTGTAAATAAATTTCTTCTCATCCTTCTATTCGTGTTACATCTCCATTTTTCCTTCCACATGCTCCTAACAGAATACTGCATGGTCCTGGGGTTTTGTGGTATTCCTGCTTTCCAGAGTAATCTCCATAAATGTGTCTGTCACTTCAGCAACACTGGTCTTGGAGTAATAAAAGATGTTTCCAACTTAAAGAGTTAATCTCTTTTTCCAGTGAAAGGTGGGCAAAGCAGAGCCAGGCACAGGCTGGAAGCTGACATGCCCACATCATACCACTCCACAACAACGCTTCCCAGCATGGTTTTCTGAGTGACTATAAGTGATTATTGTTCTTCATTCAAATCCTAGCTCCTCATCTTAACCATTATTTGGATATCCATTCGTTGTAAGCCTATAGTAAGGTTTAATCAATATTAAATCGACACAACAAAAAGTTAATAATGGTTATTTCTAAGTAATAAGTTTAAAGTAGTTATATTTTTTGCTTTGTTGTATTTTCTGACTTTTCTATACTGAACTGGATTTATATTATTATTATTATTATTATTATTTTTTAAGTAGGCTTCATGCCCAGGGTGGAGCTCGACATGGAGCTTAAACTCAGGACCCTGAGATCAAGACCTGAGTTGAAATTGAGTCAGACGCTTAACTGACTGAGTTACCCAGGCGCCCCTACATTACTATTTAATATTAAAATTAAAATATATTAAAGAGTAAGCAAATATTTATTGTGGTCTTGCCACATGGTATAAAACAGTTGTGGGGTACGTGGGTGGCTCAGTTCGTTGAGCGTCTGAGTTTGGCTCAGGTCATGATCCGGGGGTCCTGGGATCAAGCCCTGCATCAGGCTCTGCACTCAGAGGAGAGTCGGCTGGTCCCTCTGCTCCTCCCCTCCCCCCCCCCCACTCCACCCCCCCGCTTGTGTTCGCTTTCTCCCTTTCAAATAAAATCTTAAAAAAAAAAAAAAAGGTTGTGTTATGCATCATGAGGAATACATACAAAGAAAATCCAACATGGATCTTGCCTCAAAAAACTTGGGGAGTACAATCAGTGAGAGAAACTCTGCACACAATTAAGTATACTAAAAAATATGAAGAATTAGCACAATAAAGACACTATTCCAGTTGGGAGAGGGCAGGTAGTCAGGGAAGCTTAGCTCAAATAGCTGTATTTAAGCTAAACTGAATGCTGTGCTAGCAAGCTCCAAGCTTTGCCTTTAAGAACTTTGAGCAGCTTCCACCTAGGGCTCCTGGAACCCAGAATCACCAGTAAGAAGTGTGAGTCCTGATGGAGAGATCACATGGAAAGCCCTGACACTACCTGGAGAAAGAAAATGTAGCTGAGCCCACCCTCCCAGCAGTCCCTGACAAGGCATGGGAGTGAAAAAGCATTTTGGAAGGGGAACCTCCAGCGCTACTATCTCTGCTAGCGACATGTGGATCAGAAAGAATAGCCCAGATTAGTCCTTCCCAATCTCCTGACTCACAAAATTGTCGACAAATAAAATTGTCGACAAATAAAATTGTCATATTAAGTTACTAAGTTTGGCGGTGGCTTGCTCTATGCATCTATGGGTAACTGAAGTACAGCTCACATTTTATTTTCTAACCAGTAAGAAGAATACAGAGGCTTGTACTTTAGGAAAATCAACCTAACTGCGTAAGACTGTAAAAAACATCTGGTAGCAGGAAACCCAGGAAACAAGAGGCAGTGAAGTATGAACTAGAGATAACAGTAAGCAGGGAGAGGAAAAAGATATAAGATACCAACTAGAGTAAGATTCAATGGGATTTTTGTATGTAAAGAGCCATGAGGCAAGAAGGAGGAGTCAAAACTGACCTAGATGTTGAGGACACCTAGATGTTCAGTGGCTAGAGGATGGCGATATTATTAAGAAAGAACAAGGCAAGTGATGAGTTCAGAATAAGAAAATGCAATGCGTGTATATTTTAATATGTAGACAAAATGAAAGAACTAAGATAAAATAGCACCCATAATTACAGATAGAATTATGTGGACAATTAGTCTGGAGTTTTAGCAGAGTTTAAAAGAGCTCTAAAAATCTTCTTATCAGTGTCTTTCTACAGTAAGGTTTTTTTTTTTAAGAATTATTTATTTATTTGATGGAGAGAGACAGCGAGAGGGAACACAAGCAGGGGAAGTGGGAGAGGGAGAAGCAGGCTTCCCGCTGAGCAGGGAGCCCGATGTGGGCCTCGATCCCAGGACCCTAGGATCATGACCTGAGCCAAAGGCAGACGCTTAACGACTGAGCCACTGAGGTGCCCTACAATAGGAAAGGTTTTAAACCAAAAATTAAACTCAAAATCTTCACTGCATAGGCTAAAGAGTTTAACATATTTAACCTTAAGATTTTCCTCAAATGTCAAGAGAAAATTGGTTCAGAAACTGGAATAAGCAAGCACATCCTCATCCAGAAAGGGGAAAAAAAAAAATCAGTGTTTTCAACGATCTTTTTATAGGTGAATCCTCTGTGAACTCATCATACACTGCCCCTTCTATCCCCATTGTGCCTACAGGTCTACTCTCTGACATATTTTCATATTGCATGGAGGTATGCTGGTTTTTTAATCATAAAATGTCATCATGGTAGAACCAAAATCCCATGGCCTGTGAAATGCTGCCTCACCTTACACCTCTTCCCCATTCACAGTTCTGCAGGGACCATGGCTCAGTCCCTTGAACATGCCGTGCTTCTTCCTTTTCCCTCTAGCTGGCTGATTATTTTTCACTGCCTCTGACCAAATTAACTCCATTCATCCTTGAGTTTCTCATCTTAAATATCACCTCAGAAAAACCTTTCCTGACCATCCCCACTGTTCATTCACACAACGTATCTCAATCCTTCAGAGTACTTGGCACAATAATAATCTACAGTTACTTAGGAAGCTATGTTAAATAGCTATCTCCTCTGCTAAAACAAGTTCTAAGGGTGTAACACCTGCATCTCATTCATTCCCACAGCCACAGGACATCGCACACTGCCTGGCACCAAGTAAATACTCCAGAACTTTCTGAATAAATATCATTCGCAGGAATAGCAAAATAATTAGGAGCATAAATTATGGAACCAAACTGAGTTCAAGTCCCAGCTCTGACCCTTACAAGCTTTGTGACTACGTAAGTTACTTTTCAGTACCTTTTTTCTTCCTTTTTAAAATAAGGATAACAACAGAACCCCCACCGCTGAAGATTAAAGGAGTTAATATATAAAAAAATGCTTAGAACAGTGTCCAGTACATACTTACGAGCATCCTGTTTTGTCTTACTGACAATGAAGATAAAATAACACTGCCAGCTATGAGAATTAGCTATAAGGTCTGAAAAGGCCCTAACACAGCCTAGAATATAACGAACACTGATTAAACAGAAGCCGTCAGAGTTAGCAAACACTGGCGCACTATTCCTGCCCTATTTCATAAACTTTGTCTCCTTGACTCATCTTTCAACTTCCTTCACCGGCTTCCTCCACAGGGGCTGGAAGGCTTCTTTCTTACTTGCTGCCCGCTAGCCTCTATTTAGGTTTACGGGGGAGATCTCAAATCCGGCCCCAGGTTCTCCAGCTATTTGCTCAGATTCACACCACGCCCTACCCCCAGCTCCAAAAAATTACCTATACGACAAACACAACAAAGCGAGGCTGTTTCTTGGCAGTCTTTCTTCAGGGAAGCGTGCTAAAATCGAAGTCGGTCCTAAAATCTTCCCTGTCCTGTCCCAGCTCCCAGCAGGGCAAATCAATCTTCTTTCTGCATTAGCAAAGGGCCGAGGGCCAGCCGTACCCAGGCCCGTATCGCAACGTATTCGGCAAGGCCCCCGGCTGGTTTACGTGGGACCCCGCGGGCACCCTGGGGGGGGGGGCGGGGGTCTCGCACAGGACTGAAGTGGCCCAGAGTTCTGGGACAATCATTCCACGCAGTCTCCAGCCACATCCCACGCGGGAACGCCAGTCTTGTTCACGGCGCGGCGCTCCGGGCACATCTGTCGGGTTCGCGTTGCCCGCGCTGCAGAGGGTTTTGACGCACTTGGACGTCCTCACGAGGGCTGGGTGGGAGCCGCCGGCTTTCTCGAGGAGCCCGCTCTCCCGAACCGAGTTGGGAGGGCTTGCGGACTGAGGCCCGGCGCGCCTCCCCCGGGGGCGCCGGAGTTCAGAGTCACAGCGCATCGCCGCCCGCGCGCTCCAGGCCGCGCTCGGCTCCACCGACGCCGCCTCCCGCGAGGAGCCGCCGGGGAAACTCGGTCTTTCGGCGCTTTCGCCCTCGCGCAGCAGGCCGAAGGACGGGCCCGCGAAACTTCCCGAAGTGGCGGGCGCGGGGGAGGGTCCGCCGGCCGCCCGCGCCTTTGTGGCTCCCGCCTCGCCGCCGGCCCCGCTACTCCCGCCGCCCGGCGTTCCGCGGCGCCCCGCGCGGCCCCGGGCCCGCTCGCGTTCGGGCGGCCGCCGGGCCGGGCCCGCGCCCCCGACTCTGCGGCCCCGCCGCCCCTCACGGCCGTGGCCCCCGCCCCCGCCCCCACCCCGGGGCTTAATGGAGGCGCCGGGCTGAGACGCCACTCGCCTCACGCGGCCTGTCGAGGAGTCGGGTGCACCCCGCTGCCGACACTTACTCGCCACTCAGCTCGCCGGCTCGCCAGGCGGGCTCGGCGGCCTCTGTCGCCACAGCTTTTAGTCACCAGGAGCGGCCGCCGACAGCGTCGTCGCCGCCGCCGAGGCCGCCGCCGCACTCCTTCCGGCCCCGCCGCGGCTTCACCCCGCGCCTGCGCACAGCGCCCCCTCCCGACTAATGACAGGAAGAACCATAGAGGCACGCCGGGTGCTAGGGAGGAGGGGCCTGGGGAGTAAGACCATAGAGAGGGACCTCTGTCCGCTCACCGCCCACTGAGTCTTGACTCCCCCACGAGGTGGGAGGACGAAGGAAACTGAGGTGCCCTTCCTCCAACCCCGGGAAGTGTTGCCGTCTCCCTAGAGATGAAAAGGGGGGGGGATGTTGGGGAGGAGCAGGTGCCCATGGAAATCTACTGGACATGCGCTTATTTGCACCCCTTGCCTTTGGCAAGTCATTCATTCAACGCGTATTTTTGGAGAGTTTCCTGTGTGCCAGGGACTGTTCTAGGAATTGGGGGTGCAACGGTACGGAGGGTCCCTGTTCTCCCAAAGCTGTGTTTTAGTGGGTAAGTATACAACCAACTAGCGAACTCACCAACAAACGAACTAAAATACTGGCTGAGGCAGGAAGTGTTCAGGGGGGGAAAAAAAAACCCACAGGAAAAATAAAGCAAAGAAGGGATAGAGAGTGATGGGGATGCCAGTGTGGTCAGGGAGTCTTCTGAAGAGAAGACATTTGAGCAGAAGATGGAGTGACTTAAGGAGGTGAGCTATGGCGACCACCCGGAGGAAGAACACTTCAAGCAGAGGGGATATGCCTGGTGTGTTAGAGTACCTGCGTGCCTGCAGTGCAGTGAGTGAAACAGAGAGTGGTGGGGAATGGCAAATCAAAGGAGGTCTTAATAAGGAATCTGGATTTTATTTTGTGATGGAAAACTACTAGAGAATTGGAGTGGGGGGCGTGGGTTGATTTTTCCAAAGAGGACTCTGGTCCTAGAGAGCTCAGAGTAGAAGCAGTTAGGAAGAGATTGCAGGAGTCTAAATAATACCCCATGCTGACTTTAACTAGTATGGTCAGGAAGGAAGTGGGGAGAAATGATCAGATTAGGGATTTTTTTTTTTTTTTTTTACATAGAACAGAGAGATTTGCAGATGGATTGGATGTGAGATGAGAGGGAAAGAAGTCAAGGGTAACTGCAAGGTTTTTGGCATGTGCAACTGGGTGAATGGTGGTTTCAGTCACAAATATGGGGGGATATTGGGAGCGACAGAGTTTGGTCTGAGTAGGGAAAAGTGAACATGTTTTGGACACGTGAAATTGCCAACTAGACCTTCAAGTAGAGACGTCAATAGGCAGTTGGATATAGGAGTCTGCAGCTTCAGAAAGACAGAATAACTCAGGCTAGGGATTTAAAGTGGGAGTCACGGAGATAGAGATAATGTATAAAGCCACGGGACTGGCTACACTCACACCTAGGGAATGAGTGTAGATAGAGGAGAGAGGAAAGCTGAGGACAGAACTCAGGGTCACTTCAACATTTGGAATCTAGAGAAGGATGCTGAGGAGGAAAACCAGGAGAGTATGGTATCTCAGAGGCCAAAGAGAGAAAGTATTTCGACAAGAAGGAAATGATCGGCGTTGCCAAATGCTGCTCAGAGATGCAATACGATGGGACTGAACCTCAGGGAAATGAGAAGGAGGGATGTTAGCTGAGAGTGAGGTCAGGAAGATCTGGGAGTTTTGTGAAGGAGAGAGCAGAGAGCAAAATGACCAGCCCGATGCAGTAGTGAAGTTCTGTGATCAGAAATTTAAAGTGAGGCCAGGCAGCAAGGATGTGGGTCTTTCTCCAGCAACCTGCTTAGATGCAGGGGGAAGAAAGGAGCTGGAGAGATAGGAGGGGGTCAAAGAGGGGTATGCTTGACACAGATTTTGGAGATGATGCACTTATTGGTAATGATGAAGCCCACGGTGTGACTATGAGCGTGACTGAGGTGGAGAGGAGGTGTAGATCCTCCAAGGGGAGGGATCAAGAAACTAAGGCCTGGGTGTGCATAGATTATTTAAAAGGATATCAAACCGGGGCGCCTGGGTGGCTCAGTCGTTAAGCTCCTGCCTTCGGCTCAGGTCATGATCCCAGGGTCCTGGGATGGAGCCCCGCATTGGGCTCCCTGCTCGGCGAGGAGCCTGCTTCTTCCTCTCCCGCTCCCCCTGCTTGTGTTCCCTCTCTCACTGTGTCTCTCTCTGTCAAATAAATAAATAAAATCTTTAAAGAATAAAAAATAAATAAAAGGATATTAAACCATCAAGAATGATGTCAGAAATGGGGGCGGGGCACAGAATAGGGTCCTAAAATCTTCAATGACTGAGAAGGAAAGACAAGTGGCACAGGGAAGAGGGTGGTATGGACTGATGATACATGCTTCTGAAGATTCAGTTAATTGTCGTCGTTGTTGTTGATTTGCTGGCCCCGCTCCATCTTTTTTTTTTTTTTTTTTTTTTTTTAGATTTTATTTATTTATTTGAGAGAGACACAGCGAGAGAGGGAACACAAGCAGGGGGAGTGGGGGAAGGAGAAGCAGGCTTCCCGCGGAGCAGGGAGCCCGATGAGGGGCTCGATCCCAGGACCCTGGGATCATGACCTGAGCCAAAGGCAGACACTTAACCGACTGAGCCACCCAGGTGTCCCTGGTGCTGCTCCATCTTATCAAGATGCCACAGACGAGCGCACACCAGCCTTCTCAATGAACCACAAAACAGCAGAGCAGGAAAGGGAACAGGCTTTAACAAACCTCAAACATATAAGCAGTACAGCAATATTGCAATATTTGCCTAAGCCACCTATTACCCATAAGTAATATTTTGTTCTTTAGACAGATTCATTTCTCGTCAAAATATATTTATTTTAATAAGGAAGCCTTATTTCACTCTGTAAATAGAAAACAAGTCTCACTTTCAATAAGCAGAAAGTGACCATAAAAAGAGAGTCCCTGAAATACAACAAAGTTGTTGATTCTTAAAAAGTTAAAATTAGAGTAAACCAACCAATAAACTACAAGTAAAAATTAAAATCAAGGAGTGAAGCATAGAACTGAAAATCTGCTTCCTCAAGACAAGGATGGGAATCTGAAACTAATAGAACACTGTATGTTAACGAACTGGAATTAGGGACACCTGGGTGGCTCAGTCGGTGAAACATCTGCCTTCGGCTCAGGTCACGATCCCAGGGTCCTGAGATGCTTAGCAGGGAGCCTGCTTCTCCCTCTGCCTCTACCTGTTGCTCCCCCTGCTTGTGCATTCTCTCTCTCTCTCTGGCAAATAAATAAATATAATCGTAAAAAAACTTAATTGGAATTAAAATAAAAACTTAAAAAAAATTAGGGGTACCTGACTGGCTTAGTCAGTAAGGCATGTGACTCAATCTTGGGGTCCTGAGTTCGAGCCCATGTTGGGTGTAGAGCGTACTTAAAAAAAAAAGAAAGTAAAAAAATTTAATTCAATTTAAAAAAGAGAGAGAGAAGGATGGAATAGTTTGTGATCAGTTGGAAGTAAAGGGATTTTTGCCCCATGTTTTTTAGTTTAAGGAAAAATGGGGTCACTTCTTTTCTTCTCTTAATGTTAAGCAGCACCAACAATCAGAAAGGGCAGAAGATATCTGCCTGCAGACAAAACTATTGTCAAGAAGCGACGCTTTGCTGTTTCCTGGGAAGAAGCATGTGAATTCCATCTAGGGAAATTCGTATCGTGTGTCCTGGCTATACTTCCATGCAGTCACGGCGGAAGGTGTGACACCTAGGACCGCTCGGAGCATTCCAGAAAGCTGGGGTATAACTCACACACCTCTGTGAGTTATCGAAAGACCGCTTCCTTTATTTCATTTTCTGGTTACAATTAGTTGAATGTGCCAGCCACCTTTAAGGTCATTTATAATCATAGAGGACCGCTGTTTCCACAATTTGTGTATCACCATCACTTTGTTCCCAAGAGCTCTAAGTATTGCTGTCAGTTTTATCTCGATGAGGCTGTGCTAGTCTGGCCATGGAGGAAATTATTCCTGAACTCTATCTGCTTTCAGAAGCAGTAATTTCCTGCTATTCTAGCGCATTGCTTTTTTTTTTTTTTTTTAAATCTGTGTTATTGCAGGATGATTTATATGCAATATAATGCACCCAGTTTAAGTGTACGTTTCTGGGTTTTGACAGATTTATATGCCCACGCATATAACCACCACCACCATCAAGATAGAGATCATTCCCATCACCCCAAAACATTCTCTGGGGCTCCTTCCTCGACCTGTGGTGGTCGAGGCACCACCTCCAACTCTGGTGCTAGGCAACCACTTATCTGCTTTCTGTCACTTTAGATTAGAATTGCTTCTTCTGTAGTTTCAGATAAATGAGATCATGAAGCATGTACCTTCAAGTCTGGTTTCTTTTGCTCAACATATGTTTATTTTCTCAATTCTTCTTTTTTTTTTTTTTTAAAGATTTTATTTATTTATTTGAGCCAGAGAGAATGAGAGAGAGAGAGAGAGAGCACACGAGAGGGGGGAGGGTCAGAGGGAGAAGCAGGCTCCCTGACGAGCAGGGAGCCCGATGTGGGACTCTATCCAGGGACTCCAGGATCATGACCTGAGCCGAAGGCAGTCGCTTAACCAACTGAGCCACCCAGGCGCCCTATTTTCTCAATTATTCTTATTGTGGTGAAACACACATAACAAAATATTAAATCTTTTTTTTTTAAGATTTTATTTATTTATTTGACAGAGAGAGAGACAGCGAGAGAGGAACACAAGCAGGGGGAGTGGGAGAGGGAGAGGGAGAAGCAGACTCTCCG